AATTCAATATTATTTGCCAATATCATGATTCAAATGCATTAATTCTTTGGTTCCATATTCATTGTCTAGATTTCACTTGCATTGTAGGGTATTGAAAATACCATGGCTTGGGTTATACCTTAGTCTTCAAAGTGACATCTTTGCTCTTTAACAGTTTAAAGAGGTCCCTTGCAGAAGATTAGCCCAGTGCAATATGACATCAGAATTCTTCACTGCTGCTTCCATAAGTATTGACTGTGGCTTCAAGTAAAATGAAATTCTTGACAATTTCAGTATTTTCTCAGTGTATCTGTTTTAATAAAAAGAGTGAAATTATCTGCTGTTGTTTATTGGTGCTTTTGTGAGATTTATTTGTTTATGTATTTATTTTATGTTGTGGTGTAATCCATAATGAAGGCTGCAATTTTTGACCATCAATAAGTGCTTCAAGTCTTTGCTTTCAGCAAGGAAGTTTGTGTTATCTACATACCTCTGGTTGTTAATGAATCTTCTTTGAATCTTGTGCAACATTCATCTTCATAACTACATGAGTAGCTTGGTGGGTTTGGTAATATCTCATACACTGAGTTTTTTTCATTGAAATTTTTGAATGTTTGAATTAAAATTTCTGTCACTATTTTGGAAGCTAGAACTGAGGAATACTCCCTCCTTAGAATGGGAAGGCCCAGATACAAGGGACATTCACTTTCTTCCTTTCCTTCTTCATTAAAATTAATGAACCTTCAGAGATTATAATAGTATGGACCAATTTGGCTAATTGTGAGCTCTGGGCATTTGGCTCTCAAGATCATAGAGCTGTGAATAACCTGCCTGTGCCTTCCAGGTCTTCAAATTGCAAACACAGTCCAGGGAGCTTCATACCTTTGTCTCTCATCTAGACTGGCCCTCTGCCTCAGGAAGCCCATGTCTGAGTCTATCTTCCTGCCAATCCTGAGAAAAGAGCCTCAGCCTTCATAGTTCACCAGGCAGGGGGAGGGACAATGGCCCTGCAGTATTTGTTCATGCCATAGCAGAGACCTATCCAAAAACAGTGAGTACAATGGGAGACAATGGACATCGAGGGGCCAGAGAGATTGTTTTCCCCTCATCTGGACAAGCCATACACTTGAGATGTTTAGATGGGACACTGTGAAGTGCTATGCTTCAGCCAGAGAGCTGTGAAGTTTCTGTTCCTGGTTCCGGTACTGGTCCAAGAGAGCTCATTTAAAGTTTTAATTTCTTGTACATTGGTCCCAGCTCCTGTAGGTACTTCTTCACCAGAGCAAGAATGGGTCCCTCTCACCTCTCCTTGAAATCCAAACAAACAAACCAAAGAAAAAAGCAACAAACTCACTGTCATTGAGTCAATTCTGACTCATAGCGACCCCTCCTTGGGTTTCTGAGGCAGTATTTCTACAGAAGTAGATTGTCCAGTCTTCTGAGGGGTGGCTGGTGGGTTTGAACTGCCAGCCTCCTGGTTAGCAGTCGAGTGCTTTAGGCACTATATCACCAGAGCTCGCCTCCTTGAAATTCTTCCAAATAATGTTATAGAAAATAATAATAATAAAATAAAATAAAGATATTGTAGATGATGATGGTAAAAATAATGATGAGGATGCTGAGAGTAACCACAGTATCATGAAAACTTATTTAAGGACATCCCATGCAAGGATATGAGCTACGTTTTCTGTGTAACTTATCTCCTTTATTTATCTATCTATCATCTATTTATTTATTTATTTATTGGTACAACATACTCAGGAAAAAAGAGTAGCACTCACTCTTGTCATTTCAAAGACTAGTAAAAGATCACAGCCTTCTCTGATAACTGGTACCAGATCATTTGACATAAAAGATTGAAGCTAGGTGTGAATCAAGGCATTGTGAGACCAGACACCAGACACATGCCCATATTTCCCCCCGCCTACCACCTTGCAATTTCACTTCCAGGCTAAAGCTTCATGCTCTCTGGGCTGTTTTGTGTGGGGTTTCTGCCATACTAGAGCTGACAGCAGTGGGTGCCTTTTCTGCCTTGACTTTCAGAAGGATAGTTGAGAATATAGGAGGGGATCA